GAGAGGCCTGGGGTGAGCAGGGTGACCTCTCCCTGACGGCAAGTCCATCTGGACTCATACATGGCAAAGAGAGCCACTTCCAACTTGATAAAAGGTCTTAACTTAAATTACAAATTTTAAGCTATTAGACAAAAGTATGTAAAGATGTATTAATATCTCACAGTGGGACTTTCTTAAGCAAAGCCTGAAATTAAAAAGTTGAACTACATAAAAGGCGAAAACAATGTAAACAAAGGTAAAAAGGCAACAATATACAGGTGAAAGTATTTGCCATCAGTAAAGCAGGAAAAGTATTTCAATTTTCATCAAAAGGTGAATAAATGAATATAAAAACTTCTAATAAGTTGAAAAACAAGTTAAAGTTGAAAACCTAATCTAAAAAAGATGAAATAAATATAAGTAATACAAATATAAAACAAAGAATTCAAAAACATAAAAAGAAAACATTTGTACATTGGAAAGCATGGGAATGCAAAATAATACAATTGATACTATTTTGTTCATTAGTTCAGAAAAAAGTTTAAAAAAACTTTAAATATGCTAAATTGAGATGAGGTAGGAAAATAGATTACTCTCATACACTATTGGTGGGAATGTAGGTTGATATAAATTTTTTGGAGCCAGTTTGGAAGTCTTTGTCAAAATTTAATTGATAATTTAAATTTTAGAATTTAGTCCAGCACACATCATTGCTTCTGTGTAAAATGAAGCATGCACAGAAATCATTGTTGCAATATTATTTATAATAGTAAAAAAACAACTAGAAGCAAATGTAATACCAATATATGGCTGTATAGTTGAATTCACTCTGATGTTGGAATATTATGCAACTTTAAAGAAAAATGATATAAATTGCATTGGAAACATGAAATGACCAAGCAAGTGTTAAATATGAAAAAGCCAGTTATAGTATAACTTATTGATCAAATTTGATTTTAAAAAGAGGAGATGTAACTAGCTGTATAATCTGATTTGTGTCCACCTAAAATTTAGATGCTGAAACCTAATTTCTAATGCAACAATATCAAGAGGTGGGGCCTTTGGGGGATGAGTAGGTCTTAAGGACATTGTCCTCAAGAATAGGATTAGTGACCTTATAAATGAGGCCCAAGAACTCCTTCCACCACATGAAGACACAGCTATCAGGGACTATACCTGAAGCGGAGAGCTCTCACCTGACACAGATCTGCTGGGCCATGATCTTGGACTTTCCAACCTCCAGAATCATGGACAATAAATTCCATTGTTTATAAGTTACCCACTCTAAAGCACTTTGTTATAGCAGTCTGAATGTGACTATGACACTAGCCCAGTAATGATATATAAAAGAAGAATGTCTGTAAATCTGCATGAAAAATGTAACCTGTAGTGATCTCTGAGAAGAAACAATGGATCATCATCTCATTTTACTCATAAGTTCCTTGAATCACTTGATGTTTTTTAATAAGTAATGCTGTATTTTAAACGTTTAAAAGAAGAATTTTTTTAATTTTAAAAAGATAAAAATAAAACAATAATTATATCCTTTACATTACAGAATGTACCAAAACCAGTTCTACATGGCCACAAGAGACAGACAGATTTAACAGTGAAACCTAAAAGATCTAAAGCGTTTCTCACAATTAGAAAGATCACTATATAGACAAAGCACCTGAAAAATCAGACTAGAGTACTTGCCCTTTCATTCAATGTGTATGTTTGCATAAACTCTCTGCATGCATATTTTAATATTTGCATATAAAATTAGACACACATGGCAAATATGTTAACAGGGCCTATTTTCTGAATGACAACATTTTTTTACTTTACATGTATTTCTGTAAAGTTTCTTTTTTTTTTCAAAGAACAGTAATTGTGTTTAACAATAATGTAAAACATTGAATTAATTTGATATGATTGCTACGTAAGGTCTAACAATCTGGTGGTGGACCACAGCCTGCACATAAGGAAGTGTGTCTTGTTCAGCCGGTCCAAGGGCAGACGAAAGGATGCAGCAGCACAGAAGAATAGATTTTCCTTTTACTCATGTTTGCTTTGGCATTATTAGATCCAATAATGAGAACCTGGACTAGGAGATTGGATATTGACTATTTGCATTCTTTGTATTTAGCAGCTGTAGAAGGTGAATTGGGGAGGGAACTGTGTTTGGTCATCAACTTCACATAGCCCAGTAAGTGGATTTTTAGATTCTGAACACTTTCCCTTGAACTGCTTGACTTTTCTGCCTTGGAATTGCATCTGTCCCATGAAGGAGTAGGGTATTGCCCTTTGCATCTGATCAACCATCCAGTTCCTGGGGAGAGGCAAAGTTACAGCTAAGCCATGTGAATCATAAGCATTTTCTTTGGTGAGTCTGTTTTGGGAAACTCTGCAAGTGGAGGAAAACCTGGCTCCAAGTTCATCGTATCCCTGGCTTTTTCTGACCGTGATTCTTTTGTTTAATAGGAAACAAGTGAATCTTGACCCTTCCATGGAGCAGACACGTGGCAGGTGCTTCAGACTCAGTGTTGTGCACCCCAGCAGGAGTGCAGGGAAGTCAGCAATAACTTAATTATAATTCTATCTGATAACAGGTGCAATGCAGAAGTGTGTCATGGACTGTACTCTGTTCCCCCAAAATTCATGTGTTGAAGCCTTAAACTCTAATGCCTCAGCATGTGACTGTATTTGGAGACTGGGTCTTTAAAGAGGTAAAGTTTAAGTGGTGCTACTAGGAGGGGACTTAATCCAATCTGATTGATGTCCTCATAAAGAGTTGATATGGACATGCAGAGAGACACCAGGGATGCTCTCATGCAGAGAAAAGACCGTTCGGAAGCTAAGGAAAGAAGCCTTGGGAGAAATCCAACCTGCTGATATCTTTGGACTTCCAGCCTCTAGAGCCGGGGTCCTTTCTGTATGTGAGTTGCCCCATCTGTAGCACTTTCGTATGGCAGCCCTAGCAAGTCAATACAAAGTTCAAGGAGCTCTTAGACGGAGCAAGGACTGCTTTCCACAGGGAGACTGATCTGAAGAATGACTGGTGGTTACCTGGAGGGGTCCTGTGAATGCAGTCCAGGGAAAGACCCCTAAGACAAGGGAGAAGCTATTTAAAGATTTAAACAGGGCATTCCTATGATCTCTGAAATTTTTGTAAGTAAATCTAGCTACAACATGGTAACCAGTGAGGATCTTGGGTCAATAAAGGAGACTGCGAAGGAGTGCGCTTGGCATCAGGAAACGCAAGAAGTGTGTGGCTTACAGAGAACCAGAAACTCGAGTGGGCAGCAAGGCACCTTGAGATCGAGAGGTTAGCTAGATGTTGGAGAGCTTGGTAACTCGGACTAGAGCTTCTAATGCAAGTCCGGAGTTTAAACCAAATTCAAATGGCCCAAGGCGGGAACGGGAGTAAGGACCCAGATGTTCTATTATTCACCAGCCCTTTTGAGAAGCTTCGGTGTGAAAGCCAGATGGAGTTTGAACAGTCACTGGTTGTTTGGAGGGAGACACGTGTAGCTTTGAAGTCCTTGAATACTGTGCAATGGTTTTCAAGGTGGAACAGCTGCAGCAACATCACCTGGAAATTTGTTGAAAGGAAAATTCTTAGGCCCCGCCCCAGACCTACTGATCAGAACCTCTGGGTACTGGGCCTAAAGAACCCCTGCTCTATTTCAGGTTTGCAGAGATAGGCTGACTATAGTCAGAAAAGCCTTCATCCCTGATGGAGTTTCCTTCCCAATATTTAATGCCTTTAGTTCATTTACTGCTGTTTAATAAAGGGAAATATGCAAAGTGCACTCATAACCGCCATCCATACAACAAACAGTATTTGGTGAGTCTAAGAAAGGTGAGGCTTCTTGCCATACTCGTTTTGGAAACTTCCTGTCTTCAGTTATACATTCAAAGAAGTTTGATTTTTTTTTGGTGTGTTTCTTCTTCTTTATCCATATTATCTTTTCTAATCCTCCTTGCATTGACTTAATATAACATTTGTTATGTGCACTCGCTTTATTTGAGGAGTTTTATTTTTTTGCTTTTATAACCTCTCTGTCCCTCTTACGTACAGTATTTTCCCCCTTAAATCATTATGTAAAACTTCTTTCAATTTTAAGCTCTGAAACACCCGTCTCCGTTATGTTAACATCCATACGCTCTTCATCTTTTTATGCCCTTTATTAATTCATAGTTTTGGAAGTTCTGGCATTAACCATTTATGCCTTACACGGCTTTACTTTTTATTTATTTGTGTTTGTCGTACCTCCGAATTCGGCAATGTCTTCTTTACCCACATTATACTTCATCACCATCAGTACACGTGACGGATGGTGAAGGATACAGAGAGGCTCGTGCCTGTGTGTCAGTGCAGAGCTTCGTGTGTAATCAGAGACAGTGCCTTTTAGCCGTTCTTATCATGAGGCCGTGCTACCAATGGCATCTCACCAGACTGTGCTCTGCACGGGAGCTTCATTGTTAATTGACTCATTCACTCTTTCAAATCCTACTCTTTTTGATTGCATGAACTGGATTTTGTCTAGCTTTATAGGTCTCATGTGCAAAAAGAAAACACCCCCCTTTTGTTCTTTCCTTTCTCAGCAAGAACGATGAAATAACCATAATCTTTTTCTTGCGTATTCAAAAGACTCTGCCTGAAAACACACTAAAATTCTAGAAAGCTTTATAATAATTTAAATTACAATGGCACCATTTTTTTTTCCTGCCTGTCATTATCTTCCTGGGCCTTGTCACTTCCATGGCAACACATACTGTATGTTACTTTGTGTTTAAAAATTATTTATGCTGAGCCATAAACTAGTTTTTTTTATGAATATTCAACAATGCCTTCCAAGTGGCGAAATGTTCTGAGCCTTGTCTTAAATCCTTCCCACGCACAACTTTTAAAATAATGCTTTGAAGTGCAGTGCAGATCATGTCACTCCTCTGCTCAAACCCCATCAGTGGCTCCCCACTGTTGACCAAGGAATGCCTATACCCCTTGGTCTGACTTCTGCCTCCTTTTTTCACAACAGATGGGTAATGCGCCAACATCATAACAGGGTTTGAGGAAGGCACTTTTCACACATAAGCGTGAAAACCCAATCGTCGCGCTTATAAACTACAAAAGGATCAGACTTCTTCTTCCCTGATAACCTTGTCTCAGCCTGCCTTTACTGTCTTTCCATCTTGCATCCGACCTCCTAATATACATCTGAGAATGCCTTGTCTATAAACTGCGGATGGCTTATTACCACTGTCATCAACAATGAAGACTCTATTATGTCACAAAACAGAAGTATGAAAATAAGAGGGCAATGACTTTACTTTCTCTGCATTTCTCTTTGTATTTCCCAGTGGTCCAGGGATGGCTGTTTCCCTTCAAATAGTCACCTACCCAAGGGGCAGAATAGAGAAAATCCCCACCTTATGTCTGTTACCACGAATGAGACAAACCTTCTCTGAGCCTTCCCGCAAACTTTCCTTAGTATCTATTAGGCAGAGTGTGTTTCACACAGACCACACACCTAGGCTGGCGAAGGAGACATTCAGAATCAGCTGAGGCTGATGAGTAAGCAACTCCTGGTTCTGCGGGGATTCCAGCTTTCCACAAAGGACATGAATGCTCAGAGGAAGATGAAGAAAACCAGAGTTTAGTTGCTGAAGAAGGGAGGAGATGGCTTCTGTGTAGACAGCCGTGTTGCTGGTCGGTTGCTGTTCAACTAATGAACAGCTTAGTTGACATGAAAGACACAGTTGGTTGCCTACACCCTCGTTCTCAGACTAGGGTCAGGCGCAGTGACTCATGCCTGTAGTCCCAGCACTTTGGGAGGCTGAGGTGAGCCCATCACTTGAGCCCAAGAGTCCAAGACCATCCTGGACAACATAAAAAAAAATCCCCGTCTCAACAAAAAATACAAAAGTTAGCCAGGTGGGGTGGTGCACACCTGTGGTCCCAGGTACCCAACAGGCTGAGGTGAAAGGATCACTTGAGCTGGGAGGTCGAGGCTGCAGTGGGGCATGAGGGCACCACTGCACTCCAGCCTGAGCAGTACAGCAAGACCCAGTCTCAAAAATAAATAAATAAATAAATGCCAAAACTAAGACGAAGAAGCATGTATTTCTTTGTCACTACAGTTGCAATCCTGGGAGAAGAAATTATACTTACCCCTGGAAAAACCTGTATAATATATACTTTATCTATTTCTTTTTAAAATCAGCTCCCTACACTAGGCCTGAGATGCTTAAAGCCACTTATCTCACCTAGAGTCCTTCTGACCTCCTTTGGTTAATGTCAGCCTCTTTCATGGAATTCCACGTCCTGCAAGTTTCTGAGGCAGAGCTTATTTGTGACTCATGGGTCCTAGGAAACTTCTCCTCTGGATGCTTTCCAGTGAGCAGACAGCATTCAGGCCCTCCATGGAAGGAACAGGGCTGGGCCATTCCTTCCGCCGGCTTCGGAATCAATTAGCAGCTGAAGACTCCATGACAGTTATTATGCAGCAGTTCCTGGACATATCCACCTGTATGCTCACCTGTATTGTTGTTTTATACAATTTCTTTTCCCTGGATTGCAACTGTTTCCATTCTCCCCTCCTTAAATCCAAGTGTGTATCTGATTTGTGTAATCAAATCAAAAATCTAATATTTTCTTCCTCAAATTTTTACGTGATAAAATATAAAAAAGTGATTTTTAGGGGATCAATGAAGTTGGAATTTTTTTGGTCACCAATTAAATAAAAATATAGGTATAACAAATTTGCACAGAATTATTTTTTATTTTCTTTGAAGTAAATCAATTACAAGTTTATTCTTATAGACATGTTTGTCTTTAAAGCTGTTCATTTATATATGTAGAGGTATTAATTTACTAAATGCACGAATGAGAAAAAATATACAAATTTATACATTTTTGATAAAATAACTGAATTATTTTTAATAGATACATCTCTAAAAGTGTCTTATTCTTTTGAGATGTTAGAATTCAGTCATAAAACCAACAATCTAGAGAATCACTCACATAGAGGAAATGTGATACTAGCCAAATAAACCCCTTGCATTATTTATAAGATTCATTAATTATTTACCCACTAGTTTAATTGATTTGAACTATAACCAGGAATAAAACATAAGGGTTTTTTGCAGTAGGTTTAGGGCTTGAAGAATTTAATCTCATAAGTACAATAAATGAACTTGTTTTCCATATTATTCCATCTCCAGTAAGCATAGCTTGGGAGGAATTTCTATATTAACTCTGTCAGTGCTCATATTATTTAAAATGGCATGTAAAAGACATATGTTCAAAGTTAAAATTATTTTATGATATCATTGAATAAGTAAAAACAAAACTATTCACTAATCTGAATAAGACTGAATACAGTATCTAGTTATTCTCTTTTACTGGATACGCTTTATTTTTCAATGTAATTGTGTTATTTGTTCACTTGTTTGATTTTTGCTCTTTAGAGCCTGCCTAATAAGTGGTGTATTTCTTGCCAACACGTTTAACTTTGACAAAGTAGGTACCATACACAACATTTTTAAATGCTATCTTTAAATATTGATAATACTTCCAGGTAAGAGACAAAATGTATATATTTTATGTTTCTAAATAAAGTATGTTTCTCCTTGTAAAAAGTTATTTTATTGGGTACTTAATGACTAATATATAATGTCAAATATTGTAACTTTTTGCAAATTTTATTTTATCAATAAATGAAGAAATTGATATATACTTTTATTTTCCTCTCAAATCTTATCTTCCTAACATGACACCAATAAAACCAAATGACCCAGTAGTCATTTCTAATGATTTATATGAAATTCACATATTTGAATTGGTCCTGGGAATGAATTTATAGTCTGTGATGACTTTTAATCCAGAAAGACTCGATTCACAAGCTCCCTGCCACTCTAGGAAGGTTCTTGTTTTAGTTTGCACTACGGGGAAGTGCCCTGCAATCTCCCACTAATCGATCAACCTGAACCTGGCTTGCCACTACTCATATAATACAACCCAGGGAGTCTTCTGGGGCCAGAAAACCAATTTGCTTCTCTGTGAATCTGTACAATGTTTGGAACTCATCTGTGTTCACAGTGAAACTTCTTGACTGACGAGGTATCCTGACACTTCCCCCAAACACATTGCACACACACAATCTGATAAATGGGGGAAAATATTATAAAGTTGTGGTAAATACACTAATGGCCTAACTTGGTAGGAGAAGACATCAGCAATTTAAAATTTTAGCAAGAATTTTTTATTTGCTATTGCTGTATAAGTGGAGGAAGCTTCCTTCATCTTAATTATTTTTCAAAATGTAGCCTCTGACAAGGTCAATCTTTGGGAGATGTCCTCTATAAAGAAAAATGGTTATGGTATGTTCTCCCAGAACAGTGCTTCCTGTTGGGGAACCAACAGGTGCTCAAGTGGAATTTCAGGGCATTTTCCTGCTTGCCACTGAGGAACACCAGTCCAGCAGCTTCTGCAGCTGTCAGTCCTCTTCCCTCCTCTTTGCAAAGAGGTGGTTTTCATCATGGTCTATATGTCTACCTCCCAGGGACATCAAGCATCTTCTTTGGCCTTAAGTGATATTATAGCTTCCATTTACAAAGATCATGCAGGTTTACAGTCTCAGCTGAGATTCTTCACATTTGTGTATTCTTGTGGCATTTGGAGTGGGATATGTTTAGATCTAGGTCATATTTAAGATCCATCTGAAAACTTTCCCACTGTTAGTGGACAAATGCTGCACCTCATGAGATTCCCAGGAGCCCACATGATCACGGCAAAAACTGTGGCTGGAAATTCCAGTTATAATTCTTCCCAGTTGCCAGTAAAGGCTGAAGACTTGTTCTGATTCTTCTGATTATCCTCCCACCGCCTATGATGGGCTGTGAGTTATTGCGATGTTGCCTCAACCCTGAGGTTGGAGTGCCCGGATACTGTAGCACGTATATGAAATATGGAAATTAAAGGTGTCCTCCTTTTAGCTAGGCTGGAGATGTCTGGTAGGCTGAATGTCATGAGTAGGAGGCTCCACTATGTGTTCTTGCAGCACCATATACTTCTCTTTTGTAGCATTACGATTTATGGCACTATTAAATTATGGTCTCCATAATAAATCTGTGAGCCTTATGAAGGCAGAGAATGTACAGTTTGCTCACCATAGCTTCTTCAGTACCTAGACACGCTCCACTGAATGAATGAATGTGTGCATGGTATGAATGAAGGAATGATTTAGTAGTTCAGTGTCTTATATTTTAGAGACTATGGCATTCATATATGCACATTTTCAAACCAGTAACTTAAGTCCTGAAATATTCCCCACTTAGGTAGTTATATTTTAATTATTTGATTACTAATCTAAATACATTTGGTTTATAATAACTCAATTGCAGATAACTTAGAATGTTAGTAATTATATGAAATTTTCTTAAATTTCAGACCTTGTGAACTACTTAATAAATCGGGAGTATATAAATTCCAGGGGTTACTGGATTGCTTTCAGACTACTTCATTTAGGCCAACTTATTTAGTAAATTATTTTATTTTGCCCCCTCCTTTACACTAATACAGATTAATGTCTTTATATTTTAACTTCTGTTTGGCTCCTTCTGTCAAATGTGACACACTGTAAAATACTAGTATAATCCACCAGATTTATCAAAGGATAGTTGATAGTGCTTTCAAATGAACACACCTTTTGTAATTTTTAAGAAAGAGTAGTCCAGGCGTGGTGGCTCACGCCTATAATCCCAGCAGTTCGGGAGGCAGAGGCGGGCGGATCATGAGGTCAAGATATCAAGACCATCCTGGCCAACATGGTGAAACCCCGTCTCTACTCAAAATACAAAAATTAGCTGGGCATGGTGGCACGCGCCTGTGGTCCCAGCTACTCAGGAGGCTGAGGCAGAAGAATCGCTTGAACCCGAGAGACGGAGGTTGCAGTGAGTGGAGATTGCACCATTGCACTCCAGCCTGGTGACAGAGCAAGAGTCCCTCTCAAAAAAAAAAAAAAAAAAGGAAAGAGTAATAGCATTTTATACGCAGTAAGGCACCATAGCCATTGTAAAAACAATATTCTTCCTAGGATCACTGATATAATAGCACATCCCTTTTCAGTTACTAAG